AGAACGATCTGGACCTTGACTTATAACCACCGAACATAAACAGAGACGGTGAATATACCCAAGACCATCCAAGACCAAGACCATACCAACACATCACCATATACAGTATGCAACCAACATCACAAAGCATTTATATTATTCATTGGTTGTGTCATCCTGTAATTGTGTTGTGAACGTTGAAATTGAAATTGAAAACATTTGAAATCATATTCAAACGTTGAATAAAATGAGTACTGTGGATTACGGAATTATACTTACTTACCTATGTTTTGTTTGATCGACGAATTCAGACGTCATAAATATGGAATAAATGTTTTTTTTGTAAATAATGTAATTACTGAGAATCTCCTGAGAATATTGATGTCGTCAATATCAATTTTGAACTTTGAAGTTGTGATACTCCAATACATAGCCATTGTAATATCAACTTTTCTCAAAAGTAGGTCAGTTGTATCATAAATTCCATTTTTGAAGCACAAGTTATCGACTGGGAGCGTGGCGTCTCCTGTAATCCAGCTACTTGGAGGTCAGATTCAGCGGATGGTTTGAGGTCGGGAGTCCTGGGGCAGGTTTTCTCACGTCGACCGGGTGTCCACACTAAGCTTGGCGTCGATATGGCTGCCCTGGAGGAGTCCGGGGCGGCCAGGTCGTCTAAGGAGAGGCGAACCGGGCCAGGGGGGAAACTCAGCAGCCAAAAGTCTCCGCGTCGAGCAGTAGTGGGATCGCGCCTGGGAGTGGGAACCCTGTCACAGCCCGACCAAAATAGCTAGACCTGGATCTTTTTGCAAACTTTTTCTTCATCTTCAGACATTTTAATTGATATTGCCTTATTTTTTAGTCGAGCTCCGGTTGATTTACAATTTCTAAATTTCTTCTTTATTAAGCTGACACGCTGACATCTATCTTTATTGCAGGTAGGTAAGTGACATCATATTCAAAATGGCCTCTGCATTCAATCATTCCAACTATGATGTTTCAATATTTAGGAAAAGAACCCTGTCACAGCCCGACCAAAATAGCTAGACCTGGATCTTTTTGCAAATGTTTCCTTTATCTTCAAACATTTTAATTGATGTTGCCTCAGTTTTTATACGAGCTCCGGTTAATTTGCAATTTCTAAATATCTTCTTCATGAAGCTGACACGCTGACATCTATCTTTATTGCTGGTAGGTAGGTACGTGAAATTCAAAATGGCCTTTGCATTCGATTACTCCATGATGTTTCAACCCTTAGGTAGTAGATGGCAATACGGTTCGACATTCGGAATCTGGATAGTCGCCAGCTGATTCAACTCCTTTTTTTTATTGAAAGATTGTTCATCAACGTAATAGCTTTGATTGATCTCAATAATTTTCATACGAATTTCTTGAATAACTCAATCTATTAGTAATAAAATGGCCAACTAGAGTGATCTTTATTTTAGGAGTTTTAGGACTCCATAGACTATAGGATAGTTTCATATTGATCTGGTTGCAATTTTCAACAACCATTATTTTTCTTCTACAGAAAAGTTTTGAATAACCCACGTATACATGCATAGGTACATAATTTTGATTCTATAACTTCGATTACTAGATGCAGAACAACTACTAATCTTCATGCAGGATAAAAATATCTGCATCAGTAATTTTCATACCATTTTACCTATCATGATTGAAGAGTTTCTGCTGGTCATCCTTCTGGGTGAATAATTGTGTGGAATCCTTCCATGTTATAAGAAGATTTATAAAAATAATCACAATGGCTATCAACTAGAGTGTACCTCCCTAGTTTTGAGTCTGCTCACTAGATGGCAGATAGACGGGAGTATCGAATATCCCCTCGGTTCCTTGCGGGAAACAGGATATAACCTTAGATCATACCTCTCATTCAGTTTCGTATCCGTAGCGAATTTTTTTTCTTTCTTACCATATCAAAATATTGAATTAATAATAAAAGACTTAACAAAACACTGGTAATCAATAATCCAAATCTGGTGATTTCTTGAAATCCCAGCCCAGGAGATGGAAAATAAATAGAGTATGCTATGTTATTTTGATTGTTTCAATATGGTTTACTATAAAAATAAAATAGATCTATACAGGGTGTCCCTACGGAAACTGCATCGATCAATATATAGAAAACCACAGGTGGGTCGAATTTTAAAATTTGGGAGTTCACTCTATTGTTGATGTGTTGATGAGTGTTATCCGGCTAGAATATTTTGAAGATTGTGGCACTTCCGGTTGTACCGGAAGTGGACCCCAGCTTCGTTTATTCAAATGGGATATACCCTATATATATATATATATTTATAAAGGTTTCAGATTTTACGCATGATCCTGAACAATGTTGCATGTATATGTCCTATAACCCAAGTCTAAACCGTTATCGAAATAATTCAAATTTTAAGTTGAAAATTTGCGTTTGCAGACCGACATTTTTTTTTTTCTGGACATGATCATTTTCGATTGTGTATCGATTTATTCGTAGGAGAGGATCCATTTCAGTAGAAATTCGATATCAATTCGATTACAGTTATATAGGGCGTTCACCAGAAAATGATGTAGATCCGGTTGAAAAAATTATTGTAAGTCAATTTTTTTAAATGGAAACCCACCAATGTTATATTCACATTCGATTCGGCATCGAAAATGAAGCTAACTTTGAATAACATCTCTTATCTCGATAACTGAACACTTGGAGACCGTATGTCCCAATCTCAGTGATCATGAAATCACGAGGGCTATCACCTGTCAAGCGTTGTCGATCGAATTTCGCCCTGTATAGCTAACAAACTAGAGAAAAAATATATGAAAACAAACGATGTGTTTTAGCTCTTCTGACATTTGTTAGTGGAACTGTAGGCTGATGAACAAGACCACTATTTCGAAAACGGTCTAATAATTACTGAAACTGAGTCTTCTTGCTCTAACACACTTAGAGAAACTGGCTTCGGCCACTTGTCCTCAAGTACCTAAATTTCCAGTTTAAATTGAATTCAAATAAAAATAAATAGTTGCAAATATCACAGGTAAAAGTGTATTTCACAGTAAATGGTATTGACTAAAGGATTATAATAAAACCAATTAGACCCTTAAGTTGTAAAATCCGAGATGCACATCATTAATGTAAAAGGACCGGATTCAGGTAATTTTGTTTCTCGATCAGAGAGAGATTGTAGAGGATTACAGCTTACACTTCTTGTTCATTTTAGTCTTTGTATTTTATTGGATGTGTTCACTTGTGTTACGGCGTGCAATAATTTTATAACATTTAAGTATTTGTTATTACAGACATTAATAGCAAAGATTTTATACCCCAACGTACAGAATAGGCAGTATGTGGCGTCCGTGGATAAAAAGTAATAGTGCTTCTTCCAGTGGTTCGTTAAAGAAGAATCACTTATCTTGTGACGCGAAAATCGTTACAAAAAATGTGTATAGTTCCTTACTTCAGCAAGGATATAACGCGGGTGCTGCAGCAAAAGTAACCAGTAATTTGACGAAGGTGCCTCTTACTTCAGTTAGACGAATTGTTGAAAATCCCATGGAATTAAGAAAAAAGCGTAAAGATTCCGGTGTCATAAAAAGTCTAGACGACTGGAAAAAAGATTTGATAAGGCGAAAAATCTACACTATGTACGATGAGCAGCGTGTCCCTACAATCAAAAGTCTGAAACACCGGCTCATCAATGACGAAACTCAAATCAACTGTAGTCTGTAGCCTCACTACTTACTCTTTGGCGAGTTCTAACTGCAATGGGCTTTAAATATCGCAAAGTAGACAAGTAATAATGAAATCCACACGTTTAATAAACTGGCGTTCTGAATATATAACGTCAATAAGAAAATACCGGTCTGAAAATCGGCCAATAATCTACCTCGACGAGACTTGGTTTGACACGCATGACACCCCTTCCAAAGGATGGTCTGATTCCTCTGATAAGTGTAAAACAAAAGCACCATCAAATAAAGGGAAGAGAATCACAATATTACACGCAGGATCAGAAAATGGTTGGATCCCAAACGCTATGTGGCTTTCTGCCAAAAATATTAAGGACTCTTGTGTTGATTATCACGAAGATACGACAGCAGAGCTTTTTGAAGATTGGTTTAAAAATTGTCTGTTACCCAACATTCCGCCAAACAGCGTTATAGTAATGGACAACGCAAGCTATCATAGTCGACAATTGCAAATCATTCCTGGCTCAAAGAATACGAAATTGGAGATTCAAGACTTCATGCAAATGACATATATTTTGAGGAAAATTATACAAAAAAAGAACTTTTACAAGTGCTGCAGTCATTTTCTTTGAAGAAAACGTATGTTTGTGATACAATTGCAGAAGAATTGGGACATACAGTGTTACGACTACCTCCCTACTACTGCGTGTTCAATCCCATAGAGCTTATGTGGCACCAACTTAAATCGAGCGTGCGCGGAAAAAATACTTCTCCGACTTCAAGTGGTGGTGTGGTAGAATTAATTAGGAACTGTATGAATGACATTCCTACCGAGAGTTGGAAAAGTTCTGTTAGTCATGTTATAAATGTTGGAAACTCGTACCTTTCTGTAAAATCAATTGCGCCAATTATAATTAATTTAGATGAAGATAGCGATAGCGACACTGAACTAAATATAGAATAGAATTGTAACATTCAAATAAATTACTTGTATATCTCCTATATTATGCAAAATTCAAATTTCTTAAGTTCGACCCTGTAGCACATTTGCATCTTTCACCTGATGATTTTCTACACAATGGGATTAAATCGGATAGTTTATTGCAGTTAATAAGCCAATACCATTTACTGTGACATATACATTAGCAAGGCGCTGCAAAATTTTTGCCTAATCATTAGCTGATTTCCTTATGCCTTGCGTCGTCTCACTCTGATGCTGTTGTCAATTCCCTTCTCTCTTTAGGCACAATCTATAGGAGTTCAATACTATTAAATCATTGATTTTCATAAATTATGCGTGAAATTCAACCACCATGCAATAAGTGAAACGAATGGATAGTAGGTTAAGACTTTATTCAATATAAATTAAAAAAATAAATTATTATTGGCTTATCAATATTTTCTTGATATCAATAACCCTAGATTTCACCTCAGGCTGATTATCACTGACTATGTTCGGCAACACTTCCGAAAACATAATCCTCAGTTTCTCAAATTCCTGAATTCTATTCTTTTCTTTCAACTTCGACGCTAAACAAAAAACAACATTCAAAGCTTCCTTCCTCAACCTAGTATGTTTCGATATGCCTAAAGCATACTCAACAGCAACATTGATATTTTTCACAATTTTTTCCAGGCTACTTTTTTCCACATCTGTCAAATTTTCTTCATTGAGCAATATCAACTTATCCACATAACAGTAAAGTGCCGATAATACACTGACTTGAACTGATCTTGTGACCATCGGCAAGTACTGTACCGAGTGTTCTACGAATAATTCCCTGTATTTTTCTTGTGTGACTTTAGTGGTCCCTGACCATGCTTTGCCCAAAGTTTCGTAAGCGGTTTCCTTGAGCTTCACTCGATTCTCCCTGTTCTTCGAAATTTCTTCGCCAGAAATGTCCTCGTCTTCTTCTTTGTGAGTGTTTTGGTCGACTAGAATACCCTGTATGATTCCGTAAATATCTTCGAATCGGTCGATGTCTAAGGACGAAACTATTTCTCCTAGTGATTGGAGTGCGTGGTTTTTGTAAACTATTTCGTCTTTTCTGCTCTCCTTAATGACCGCTTCTACTATTGCTGGTATATTTATGGATCTTCTTTGATTCCGTCTCTGAAATTATGATGAACTATGTATTTCAAAATCCATTGCATACCACTGTGTTTATTTAAACATGATCAGCCCTGATTACATTTTATGATATCTAATCTAATGATTCTATCAGAGGTTCTGAGGAGATTCATGAAAATTCTGCTAGATCTCATAACTAAGAGATCCAGGATGAACAGAGTTGCCCCAATTGTCAGCAGGAGCGAGACAGTACTGTTTCGACTCACCAGGTCTCATCAGCCGCTCTCGGTCTGCTGACAACTGGGACAACTCTACGCTTCGGGTATATCACCCATTTCGAAGAAGCAGTTGAATAGGTGGTGGAAAAATTCCACTCAAGTATGTCAGGTAGTGCCATCTGTCAGCATAGTGGTTTACTTGTAATACCAATCTGTAGCGTATAGACGTAGGGGTCTGTACGTGTGACTGTAGATGGCAGCGCCATACAGTGTGTGTCGCGATTTCTGTATCCTACCTTAGAGCTTTGCCACTAGATGGCCACAACATGACTATAACTTCATAAAAATTCAATCCCTTTACCAGATGTCCCAAGTTATCGTATACAGGCAATATCTCGCTCATTTTGACATGATGATTAAAAAATAAAAACTGCCTTGAATGGCATTGAAGTACTTTCCTGAACGTCAACATTATTTGACTTTTATACGTTATATACTTGAGTGAAAAATTGCCACCACACATGTTTTTTAAATATCAAGTATGTGCCACCGTTGTATGCCGACTAGAATGACAGGGAATTCTCAATGACAATGAAAATACGTGAGGGGGCTGTCAAAGGTAATACATTTTTTTGTCAGCCATTATCTTGTCAAATAATCAAGATATTGTCTGTATATGTATATGTGAACACTTCATTTTGAATGGCTTTGACCTCATACTCACTTGCAGTTTTGGCAAATACTAGACAATGCTTTCAATAGTTTATCTTTGCCATTCCAAGATCTTCCCGATAATCCTGCCAGCAGGATATTAATCAGGGAATTCCTATGTTTGGCATCCATTGAGGTTCCCAATTTATTAGCCACTGTGCTCACAGCATTGGCAGCCTGAAAAACGATATCATATTCGATGTTTTTAACAAATAAATAATTGACCTGGAGTGATCATAGATAACCACCAGTTTAGTAGAATAGGACAGGTTGCCCATAACATAACTTCCATATTTTTTGAAATTATTTTTTGGCAATCCTTTGATAGACACGAAACCAAGGTAGACTTCCTACTACTTCCTTATCGATACATTAACCTATCAGCAGCCAGTAGTCATTCTAATATGTCTTCGCTGAGGTATGTTAGTTAATCAAGATCAGTGGTTCGACAGCCATGGATCAAAATTTGAAACTTGATGATCAAGTCAAAAAATCTTAGTCGATTCATTTGCAGTTCGATGGTTTTGTGGGGGAATAATTAATCGATTCTGGCAGTTTTCATGGATAGTGTTTTTTTTTCACAGTTCAATGGATCATAGTGACCATAAAACAGTAATCACATTATTTCAGGACTAAAATAAACTTCGATTACGAGTACTATCAATTAGTGAAAAATGATTACTAAAATGAAAAAAAAATCCACATTGCTTCCACCATCATCATTCAATGTAAACAACGGACAACCACAATAATCATTGACGCAATCGCTGACAAATATGATATAACTTTGAGGGGGTTGAATAGTATCATCAAGTTACTATAATGTGTGAATAATCATTTACATGGAAAATTGTTTCAATATTCATTCAAGGATTATTTTTGACTGTCAACCAAGTGTATCCTGGAGCATTCAAGTGTGAATCTTGTATTTTATACTTATTTGATCGAGATCATATTCCTAAATATCAGACGTGTCAGACATTTGGATAGGTCCAAATAATTACGCGCTTTTTATTGGAACATAATATTCTTCCTCATCAAATATTCCGTTTATGCTACAGATTTCTTCTCTGATAGATGATTGAATCTAGTCAACCGAAGATCACTTAAATTGATAAAACGATAGCAATTTTTCACACCTGTGAATAATAGCGGTGAATAACCATTCACTGGTCTAGAGTTCCTAGGGTACGCGATATAACATACCGGGTGACCCGGAACCAATTTACCCCCCTGTATCTTCGTTGTTATTTTGTATGGATGTTTCAAATTCAGTACTCCGATTTGATGTTATGAATGTACAATTTAGCAAGTATCAATCCAAATATGTCACTTCCGGTTTGACCGGAAGCGCATCCAATTTTCATATTTCGAATAGGAAGTATTATTTTTTTTTGAAAATTACAATTCGGTATAGAATTATCTTTACAATGACATATCACAATCATACTTTCAATTTACAATCTGCTGGTATAATTGACATTTTATATAAAAAAGAATAATTTGTGTTCCCCTCGTAACGGAACATTTTCATGAAAGTATGCTGTGGTAGATTGAACAATAAGCAACAATAATTCAATCTTCCACAGCATACTTTCATGAAAATGTTCCGTTACGAGGGGAACACAAAAAGTATTTTTTTATAAAATGTCAATTATACCAGCAGATTGTAAATTGAAAGTATGATTGTGATATGTCATTGTAGAGGTAATTCTATACCGAATGTTACTATAGACAGACTACTGGCTCTGCAGTGTCAGTGCCCGAGCTCACCCGCCGAGGCAGGCAAGATGTCCTCCCACTTGACCCATAGTGGGATTCTTCTTTACCCCCTCTACCGTAGTCCGGTGGTGTTTTTTGGAAACCGCTGCCCCCTGGAGTCCAACCTAATTGGTGAGACAACAGGACGTATGTACGGCCTGATGGGGCTATCCTCATCACCCCAGGTACCCATGTCAACAAGATTTCCTCTTGTTACGTTTGATGGGTCGCCGTCACAAAAAGCTTTCGCCTGATTGCCACTCATGTTGACAAGAATCCTCTCGTCCCGTTGAATGAGTGATCGTTCGAGGACTTTTACAAGTTCCTCTACCTCGTTAACAGGAGAGGACCCGGCTTTACCTATGATGCCTGGCGATAGGATCGCTTGAGGCTACCCCCTCCCTGTCGAACTAAGGCACAAGGTACACCAAAGTTCCAGTTTTCGCTGAGCAAGCCCAGCTACCCATGTCGACCAGAATCCTCCAGTCCCGTTTGATGGGTATCCGTTCGCGGCCTTTTACACGTTCCGCTACCATGACAAGAATGGGGACCTCAAGCTTTTAACCAGTGGTGTCTGGAATCACCTGAGGCTACCCCACCCCGACGCCGTGAGTACATGATGGGCCCACGGCCGAGACACCGGGACAGGTGAAACTGAATAAAAGCTTGTATAAAAATGTTAGAGGAAGGTGAATCTGTTCTACCCAAATGTGCGCTTTTGGTCGAACCAAGCCAAACACGAACTCGTCTAGTATTCACATATACACGAATGCAATCTGACCTCAAATGAAGCATCGTGCAATCGGATGTTATACAACAAATCTCTCAACTGTGAAGGAATTTACTATTGGGGTCGATAGTGACTATTTCAATGATGTTTTCTTTTCAGGAAGCAGTCATTTCCGCACGGATTATTTGTTGCGCCCTGACTCTTTGCGACCTGTTGGTAGATGCTTCATTTCAGGTCAGATTGAATTCGTGCTTCACAAATTGGCGAGCTGGACTATCTCTTAATGTGTTAAAATTCGAATATGTCTTTATACCTGAGCTTTCATTGTCCATGAAGGGGATTCTAGAGCAGTCTTCAGCATATCACATATACTTTGCAAATTTTGTCGAATGCCAGTTTCAGTGCCTGGACTCTGTTCCGACCAAATTTCGGTCCATATTTCCAAGGTTTTTTCGGTTTCCGGTGTTTTCTCTGCATGCATCGCAAAGAACACCAACGGCAACAATATATCAGCGTGAGTTTTGAGGATTTCTTGATTGTGGATACCGATCGATTGAATGGTTTGCGCACAAGCTGAACGAATCGAATCATCTAAAAACCCGATTGATAGGTAAGAATGTCACTGATAATTTGAGGGCCTTGGAGCATACCTTCTCTTTCGAAATACCAAGTTTGCAACTTGGCAAACAACTTCTCAAGACTAGATTCTTTTGCAGTTGAAACCAGATGGCCTATAGCAGTAGCATAATGCTTTCTGATAGCAGCATTTCTGTCGGTCAGGCCATTTACTAGAGTAGCTAGAAACTTACCTGAAAAGTTTCAATAAAACATAGATATATCTTCCATTACATAGATAAGGTACCAAAAACCATTCAGTGTTTGGATTTCAGGTTGAATAATATTTGTTTCGTTGAGACAGTGGATCGAAGATGGAACTAAGAGATTATGTTTGTATACAAATTTTCAGATGAGTATCATTGTTTTAAGAGAAATAGGGTGTTTAGTAACGTATAGTTTTTGGAAAATATTACAGAACTTTTCTGGAATCTTTGAATACTTTGGTGACCAAGTCATCTCAATGTTCTATCAGTTTGTTTTTCATGCTCTCCTATTCTTCAGATATTCAAATGTTTTCACTGTTTATAATGATTAATAATAAACGTTGAAAATGTTGGTAGCGACAAAGCTATCTTTGAAGTAAGAAAAGTTAGGTTCAAAGTCAGAGCATCTCACGAAGGTATGAAGGTTTTGAGTTCTGTGATCTTACGCCATCAAGTAAAATTGGCGCGTCTGAAAAGGAAAATGTTCCTCAAATATTACCATTTTATCAGAGTATACTTGCCCGTATATGGTTGAACATCTTGTCCCAATTGAACAACCAAAAGTGTGACAAAATGGGTACATGCGATTCTAGTTCCTAATCCTACAGAGCCTTTCATCAATTCCACGATTTTAGGAACTAACTCTTCTAGAATGGAAGCATCTGCGTATTGCAGACTCTAAAAAAAACTTATGTTATCAATGTATTTTGGTTTATTAAGATAGTTGAGAAAAATTGCGTGACCAAACTGTCACTAAATAAGATTCTATTGTAATTTTTTTTATTAATCAGATTGAGTACCAGGTATCACCCCTAATAAATTATTCATTCATGACCGTAGAAAAAAATCAAAAACAACCTTACTGAGATTTTTTCGATCTTTAAACAAAAGTAATATTTTCACTAACTGGGAAAAAACACATGGAGCAGCAAAAATGTATGAATTTCAAATAGAACAAATGCCCTGTACATTTCCTCGTCACTTGAAAGGCTGTTCAAAAATACCCCACTCTATGTATTTGATCTTCCAAATTTCTAAAAATATGGACTTCAATACCAAGAGTTCTTGGTCAACTTTTAAATGATTTTTGGCAATAAGTCATACCATGACAATGATAACAATATCGATTTCCAGTGATCACCGCCAATGAGAATCAGATGTCATCGCAAGGAAAAAGCTAAAACTCCTAGAATTGCAGCCATTGTCCCATAGATATTACATAGCTTTCCCCTCAAACAAATATAGCAGAATGATAAAATATTCTATGATGAATGAGCGTGATTTGTTTATGATCTGTGATGCCCAGTTGAATATAGAAGATACAAAGTTTAGACTAACCATGCTGAAGTAAACTGAAAAGCAGGAAATTATTTTAGATTTTTCAAGTGCATTCCATTCAAAAAATTAGCTAAATTCTCAATGTGGGGTCATTAATTGACGTATTTTCATTAGATAAAATTGTATTCAATATTACCGTTTGAAACAATAAATTATACTATTTTTACGGAAATATTCAACAACAGTTAAAATGTTAGTTATAGGTATATAACTGACGAATATTTCCAGAAACATTATTTTGTCAAGTTGTTGTTTGTAATGACTATTCCATGATTAAAGAATTAAATATATTATTATCAGATCCTTCAAAATTACCTACCAACTCATAATCTACATTGTTACTGGGTCAACGAAAATTTCGCTCAGAAACAGGAATAAAGAGAATGCTGTGAAAATCAAACAGATTTTGATCTCTGTTTTCAAAGGAATGGTAAAATAGGAACTTACTTTTGATACAGTTTCGGTAGTGAAATGAGATTTGGCGAATGAAGCCCTGGCGCTATCAACCATCTCTTGTGCTTGAGACTGTGCACCTAACCTTGTACTGAGATACGACAGTTTAGAAGATTCCAATTCACCAGTAGCTTGCAAGAGGGCAGGTATCAGTTTTGATAAGAAGGGTTTCAACTGTTTGCCTGCCGATGTTACTAGTTCCGATACAGTTTGCAAACTAAAATAAACATACAATATGTACGAGCCTTCAGTGAACCGAGACAGTTGTGACATCAATGAAGGTTGCAAACGTCATGTTCGTCGAAAACTTTGCCAAGTAAAACGACTACGAAGCATATACACTGAGATCTTTCAAAATTGAGAGGATTATTTGGATGCATATTCGACAATCATAAGGTTTTTAACTGTCACTGGCGTCTGGGATTCATCAAGTTCAGTAATGTGGATAGTAAAGATCTTCACCTCATCGGTCAACTGGGGTGAGAATATGTACCCTGTGGAGTAGAGTTTACTCATTTGCGTTCGAAATTTGTTAGATTGTGTATATTCTATTATGTGGTTGCCGTTCAAATGTACTCGATTTTTTGACGTCAAGTTAGCTCTTGTAACTCACAAAATAGGTGGCTTTATTTCACTCGACTAATTTGACACAGTTATTACAGGGTGTGAACAATGATGAAAAAGTTCGTTTTGTTTGTTGCAAATTAGGTTAGGTGGCAGTTTACGATTGTTTTTATGTCCTCAAATAATTCAAACTTGTAAAATACGTTTCTCAACATCATTGAAGACACAGATGTGACTGAAATCAGTAGCATCATATTTTGATGTTGGAGAAATTCAAAAAATTTTCAGAAAGTGGCATTGAGGTTCTGTTGAGGTCGGCAAATATGATAACAAAATATTCAATAAGCGACATTCAACATTATTTATTTGCAACTGGAAGGTAAGATCTACTCGTTTGAGAATATCACTTCATGAATTGACCTCTGAACTGAACTTGACATAACCCACATGTTCATGTCAATCTCAGATGTCAATTAACTAACTCAAAATCTCGTTCGAATTTTACATGGAATAGAAATTAACGCAGTCACTAATCGAACGCACCCCTGAATATAAAATATGACTGACAGATACCCAAAGTAGATGCCTGATACTTTGTTCCAACAAATAATTATGGCCGACCGGTTCTAAATTTGAAATAACGAATACATCAACAGACTTGTGAAGTTTTATATTTACCTGATTAGACGTATTTCAGCTACCGAATTTGTAATACCAATGTTGAGTAATGGCGGTAATATAGCCTCCACCATTTTAACCCCTGCCTTTCCTTGACTAACGTCACAACCTCTTATACATAACTGAAATGAAAAGAAAACGCTTGAGAATGTATCGCTAGCAGCGTTTGACGGTCTAATCTAAGTGGAAATGAGAATGAGACACGAAAAGTTTTGGCAGCCAATCACTAAGGGATTATCTTGTGAATTGGTGATTATCTGAAGTTCTGTATACTATTTCTTTGCACGTTCGTCACAACGTCAAGAAATGTATCAAATCAATTCAAGGTCAATTGTTTTAATGAAGCAGTGATGTGTCGAGAATGTAGTTATAATGCAAGTATTCTACTACTGCACGCCTCTGCAAGTCCACTCGAATGCGTCCCGACATACGTACACCTCCGTATGCAATCGTTCAACTCGTTGCGTTCAAGAATAGTGTCGTGACTGTGCTGGGACCAACAAGGTATGCAATTGCAAAAAAATAAAATAAAGAGGTAGGTGGATAATAGCAATATTGTTGAAATAAATCTCGATATCTGGAGATTATTTGCTCTCAACCGAGTTCTACAATATCTACCTTTCCTTGCAATAATCTATAGAGGTATCGTATTATCCTGATAAAGATATAATTTATTAAATAATTGTGTGCAGTAGATGTTATGGAGTAGAAACAGGTGATGCAAGTGTTTTTTATCAAGACTCATGAAAAATTATAGTGCTGACACATAAGTAAAATTATTCTAAGGGCCAGTTGCATAAACCCCTTTCTTCCAACTAGCTATCTAGACACACGATCCAATGTAAATAAACAACTTAAATATTTAATGTTCTGTCAGTTGCTTTATGTAACCAGTCCTAACAGTTATATACATTTTAATCAAATTAACAAAATATTAATAGGTGTTTAAGCTTACCTTACTCAATACTCTCGCGGTTCGAGTAGCAGTAATCCTAGTTTGTTCGTGATGATCATCCATTACTCTGAAGAGTTTTGTCCATAAGTCATTCATCGAATCGATAGCATCATGTATAGTCCTATTGCCTGAACCTTTCAGGAAGTCTTGCAACGCTAAACAGCAAGACTGTCTGACTCTGTATTGATGAGAATTGATATTCAATAGTAAATCAGTGAGGATTTCACTGTAATATTCATCCAACTGAAAGAAAAATATATTTTTTTCATGCCATTAAAATTGAATAATAAACCACTTTGAGATTTACCAGGTGTTGCGATAGTCTTGAATAAAGTAGTTCAGCCAGCCCAAGAGAGAAAAAATTGCCTACCCCTTCTTAGCTCAATAAAACGGTAACGATACTCTCGTGGAAAAAAAAAAGAGGTCGGTTTCTCTGCGGTTTTATATGTTTTTGGGGGGTGCTGTATCTGAATCTGAAGTTTGCAAATAAAATTTCGTGGACCGTTCCGAGATATTCGCAAAAAACAAAAACAACGATCTGTTCTCACTTTTTTCAGTTTTTTGCCAGTAACTTGGAAACAATACATTCTAGCGAATAGACCATCCTATCAAAAGTAGATAAAATGTTCTATGTATAATAGTTCTCTCTCATGAATGTTGGACCAACGGGTGAGGAACTAGAGCAAGTTAAATATTGACCAAATTTGCGAAATTTGCAAAAAATAGTGCTTTTCGTCGGTTCTCGTAGATAAATCATAATCTAAGCATTTCTAGAAGGAGTAACCTACACTACCTGATATGGAGGATTCCTGGCCAAGTTAGTAATCGCGTTTGTCAGTGTGTAATTCGATTCTTGGATTGTCACAGTATTCAAGAATATTTTCAACAACTAGGTAGAATAATGTTTTATTTACAACCATATAATTATGTAATGTTGTCATTACTAACGTCATTGACGGTTGGGAAGTGTAACATTACACACCTCTACTTCCCGCCCTCACTTCCTGCCCCTCACTACTTCCCGCCCTGACTTGTAATATTTTAGGCATGTTCAGAACGAAACAGAGATTTATTAATTTTGATCAAAATATGATGGTTGTAAATAACATAGCATACAAGCCTCGGTAGGAAGTTTCATTCCTGTCTCGAGATCATAGCTAACCTCGACGCTTTGCTTCTCGGTTAACTAACTAATCTCACGACAGGAATGAATCTCTTCCCACCTCGGTGTGTGATATACTATTTCACATGTGCTGCTTGTTATTCGTTAGCGGAGAAAAAAAACAAGTTTCTCTCATATACCGCCAGATAGACGATGAGAGTACCCTGGAGCAACATCACCATCTTCAGAACTGGATCCTTCAGGGTACCAGCCCCCCGCCAAACGACGATGTAGCGACGATTAGATTATAGATTGTAGCGATTACCCTCATCTAATAATGCTAATCTATAACCCCAGCCTTCTGGTGAAACCTAGCATTTTTTGGACGGTTAGGTTTCCCACCTCAGCAAGCGCAGGTAGACCTTTTCTAGTTGAGTCAGCCGGACTAGAACATTACATACATTGTTCTTGCTTGTGTATAAAGGACCAGCAAGTGAGGAGCTGGAGCAAGTTGAAAATTGACTAGAGTTGCGTAGATAATCCATAATCTACGCATTACTAAGGAAAACACATCATACACAAATGGAAAGAGCATCGAGTTTCCTATAGGGTTCATGTAAAGTTCGTTAATATGCGAAAAGGTGAACGCAGAGCGCTCACTCATGGAGACGTATTCTGATTGTAGATGCCACACTTAATTACATCCTGTTCACTCGTTTAATTCGTCTAACTAACCATTTACCTATATTTTGAGAAGATCTGAAACATATAAATAGATCATAGTTCTGTTTTTGTATTCTGTGTGGTGAGGGGGACATAAAAAATTGATTATTCTGAACGCTGGAATGATAGTTGGTATATAATTGCGTTGAAATAATTCATAGAGTTTGATGAAAAACGGATAATAACTATTCAAGTTATCCATTTTATGATGAATAAGTATTGAAAGCAATCTTCGCTAATGTGCATAGGTTCCAGGGCATAAGTCAGCTGATTACCTAGCGAAAAAAATATGCATATTCTTTATTCTTTGGTTCTGAGACTCTAGAACAAGCAAATGTCATCTGATCGCAGACGAAAGAGAGCGATAAAACTTCGGTGAGCAATTTCAGGTCAACGAGAACAAAACAGGTCATCAAAAATTACTGATTCTCAGCAAACTAGAGCTGAAGCACGGCCCTCTGAGGTATTACTAAAAAAATTGCCCTAACGGAGACTACAACTTGTCGAATTTGCCATAACGTGACCGAAACTGGGGAACACATACTTCGCTTATGCGTGTAATGTTAAGGCTTAATCACCCAGAACAAGTCTAGGGTTATAGAAGACAATTAGATGAGGGTAATTCCTATATAACCTCCAATCTAATTGTCGCTATTGGCGGGGGGCTGATACCCTGAAGGATCCGGTTCTGGAGGTAGTGATGGTGCAGGTGGAGCAGATCGTGTTCGCTCCAGGATACTTTCATCCTCTTTTCTGGTGTTATACTGGAAAAGCTTGTTTTTTATTCCTCTAGTTGATGTAAATATACCTAAGTACTGTGACAAATCAAAAATCGTGCTACCCGCTGACAAAAGCAATAACTCACATGGCCGGGAATCCTCCACACCAGTCAGTGTAGTTTGTTTCTTCTAGAAATACGTAGATTATTAAATATCTACGAGAACTGACGAAGGACACTATTCTATTACAAATACGCCAATTTGGTCTATTTCAAACTTGTTCTAGCTCCTCACCCTTAAGTCCTACATTTACTTCAACTCTTTATAGGGTGGTATTTTCGCTTAAATATATAGTTTCTGAGTTACGAGCAAAATACTGCAAAAGGTGCAAACATTTCGCTGTTTTTTGCGATAATCTCGGAACGCTCCAGGAAATTTTGTTTGCAAACTTCAGATTCAAATTCAGCGTCCCCAAAGACATATAAAATCACAGAGAAACCGATTACTCGAATTTTTTCCACGTGAAAATACCATCTTATTGGTCTATTCTGTCCTTGCTCTAAGGGTTTCAACGCAAAATAATAAAAATGTAATGTCGATAACTCACAAAATTAGAAGAGTATGCTGACCTCAATATTAATAAATTGTAGTTTGAATAACTTAAAAACGCTTTTATAGATAGCAAAACTAAAATGAAGTAGAAGATAAAATAATAAAGGTGACCCATAAAAACAAGGTTCAAAGAACACATAGCCCATCTGAAATATGGCAGGTTAGATAAATCTTGTGTAGCAGAACATATATATGTTCAATCACAATCATAACACACATATTAATAACCTCAAATTAGTTAAGCAAGTTAATGATATTAGCAAATCAGACGCTTATGGAAGCTTAGAGATATTTAAGAATAGCAATAGAGTAATGAATAAGGATAATGGACCTTTTCCATATAGTCCTCTTTATAGTTTAGTAATATAAAAATTAAGACTAACATGTGAACTCAACCATGACAAACATCAACTTGACGGTTAGTATTTTTCACGGTTGGGTGAACATAGTCTATATACTAGTAACCTAGTATATAAGCATCACACTAGAATAGGATTAGAATTAGTTTTAATCTTCCCCTGAAGATGCTAACATAGTTAGCGAACATGTGTCGACGCGTTTAAAAAATCGCTTTGGTTAGTGGTAGAACAGTGTAGTGTATTATCGTGCCAAAAATTCCAGTCGTCGATTTAATAAAGGTGTGTTGAAAAATATACAATGGAGAAACTACTCATTACAGAGGTGTTAATATTCTGTTGTGTATTCATCAACCACTATTAAAACGCCTTAATTATTTTATTTAATACTTTTTATTAATTGGCTATCTATAAAAGCGTGTTTTTTAGCTTTACCATTTTTTAGTTCGGCTAACTACAAAACGTGTTTTTCAGTCTTTTCTTCGCCGTCCCGCAGTTAAAGTGTGTAATTTGTGCGCCTGTCGCCTTCCTTGGATGTTATTCGTCAGGTTCCCTCTCCGGAAACTAGTTCATACGAGTACTTAGTGCAAGACTCTCGGGATCTAACAATTTTCATATCATACGAGTATACTTGGTGCAAAATACTGCCGGTCTATGGATTAAATATCGCTCATTCTGAAGAACTTGATCAGGATAAAGGCATTAAACTATTAAATTATGCTATTGTCATCGGTCCTTGAAATGTGTGCGTAGTTCCTATTCATAAGAGTACTTGGTGCAAGACACTATCGTGTCACTGAATATAAAAAATTATTAGTTATTCAAAGGAATAACAACGTAAATTGTAAGTTTGGTGACGAATCATTTGACATTTTGGTGGCGGAAAATCATTCATTATTTTATTCGAGAAAAAAAAACGGTAAATCTGAAGATAGATCCTGAAGATGCTATTGTCATTGGTCCTTGGTAAGTCTGCGAAGTTTCAATGCACTTCTACGTTTTGAAGTGGGTCAAAATCACGCTTGAAGATTCCATTCCATAAAAACATACATACCAAGCTTATAAAAGCGTGGAAAAAAAGGTTACAATGGTCTTTTCCACCATTTATTTTCCCGTTGATACTCTTAATACAAGGACGAAAGGGAAGATCGTATTTTCTCAATCAATGGTAGCTAAACTAGCAATTGCCTGAAAATCTCGAAACAAAACCAGCTTAGTGTGGACCATTACAATTTTTTTACTGAAATGAATTTCTCGTAATTCATAGGTTTTGAGTTGAAAATTAATTAACACATGAACATGTATACTATTATATTCAATTGACATTTCTCAACTTTTGATTATTCATAATGAAACAAAACATATGGCCATGATATCATGTGATGTTCCTATTTATAAAAATAATCGGCAAATAACACAAAGAATACCGTGATCTATCAAATAGTTATTTTCTCCAAACGGCATAGAAAGTGGCTTTTCTATGACAATTAACAGGCAGCAAAGATGTACTTTCTCTGCCTAGGCAGAAAAAATGTTTTGCTATGCAACGTTCCAAGTAATTTGAATGAAATTGGTAATCAAAATTGACACTGACATTGGATGAACACAAAATGACGAAGTTTTCAATAAAGAAAAATACACAAAATTGGTTTTATAACATTTGGAGAAAAAATTATTTGTTTTACTAAGCAGCAAAATAGTACATTGGCTGCCGCTGCTGACAGTTCACAGCCGAGCATACCGTAGTTCCATTGAAAATTCTCTTACCATTTTCTGTGGTTCTGACACTAGAACCCTCCAAATATTCTGCATTGAGAGCTGTATATTTGGTGTCGGATCGTATTGATACCTGTACAGTTTCGGTATAATGAGTGGTAAATATGATTTGAGATCTTCTCCACATCTCTCTGCTATGCTGGAGAACCCAAACGCTGCACCTTTTTTCGAGTTCCAGATGGCGTTGTGGTTTGCAAGATGCATAAATTGATAAATCAAGTCAGGTTTGTTGAGGTCAGAAGCGAGGGAGCAAAGTTCTTTGTACGTTGTTAAGTTGCCACTGAAATAAATTAGTTTCCAGAAATTATGATTATTATACTACATTGACATCAACAGAATGTTAATTTTTTTTATGAATAAACCTCAATAATTTGTTGTTTTATCCTTTTTGGTGAATGCATACATCTGGAAACTGAATAAAAATGAATAAGAAAGATACAAATCAGGTCTATCAGGAGGAAATTTGGTAGCAGATCTATATTCAAGTCGATGGGGACGATGGGGTCCATTTAGATAAAGTATGTTTCAAGAATTAGGCACTTCCAGCTATAAGAGGACTTACTTAATTCAAATCGGACTCCGAAAATTATTATATTTAATTTGCCTGATTCATTGAATTATTGAAACTGAATATGTGAATATTCAAAATATCACGTTTCAAAAAACCAAAAAATAACTATAATCCTCGTATTTCTCTTTGTATATTAACGAAAATAACGTTTAGTATGTACATTCACAAATCGCCAATTCTGATTGTATTTTAAATATCAATTTCTCAGATATATATGAGTGATCCGGAGTAATATGGAAATTGGACAATATATGGCAGAGTGGAATGATATAGAAATTATAGGAGAACAAAAGACCCATTGATTAGAAGGCGGCTCGGTGGTCGAGAGCGTAAAGGCGCTGAGTTCGTATGGGGACTCCCACCGGAGACATAGGTTCGAATCCTAGTTAGGCCATGGATGTTTGTGTTAGTATGTATACCTAACCCCGCACAAGTTTCGACTTATGGGGCGTTTGGTTCCAGTGCTGAGACCAACGAGGTATGCAATTGCAAAAAAAAAAAAAAAAAGAATTATTTTGAAAACGGGAGCAGATAAACGTCCGAATAAGACAAGATAAAATTTCTTATTTTTTCGATATACCTACATTTCTCTTCCTCAGTATCAACTTCTACCAAGAGTACCTTTTTGGTGTGAAATTGGATAATGTTTGAATTCACATGAAATTTGGTCTAGAAAATCTCCTCTCAAGAAAGTTATTTTCCAAACTACTCAATACAAACCGTGTACCTAGAGTACTCTATGAGAGTCAGATATAAAAAAAACAAATTCCCGCGATGATTGCCAGTAGTATCGACATAATCGTGAAAAATGTATATAAAAATTGTTTCTTCAACAACTTGTGACTACAAAACATATGCCGTTACGAACATTTTGTACTGAGCAAATCCAACTCATTTTGCATTGTTCTTACCTAGAGTCACTGGATGTTATTAGTTTGATAAGAGTTCGGACACAAAAATGACAACGGTTAGGGTTTTTGAATGTTTAGATTTATTGAGTTACACACCTTGCATTGTGACAAGAGCACCATAGTCGTCCCGCGCTTTTTCATTCAAAATTGTTTGAATTTGAAAGTACATTTTATAAACGTCAGAATTTAAATTAAATTTCATAATTATACATTCGAGATAAAAGCAGCTATGGAAATGACTTGCTGTGTAATAAATTGTGCCAATTGTGAAAAAAAATGGATATCATTTACACAATTTTCCGAAACAAACATCAACCATTCCCTTATGGAAGGAAGATATGAAATGGCCTGGGTGCAAAATCAATTTGAAGACGAGCGAAATTTGTGAGGTACTCATTAAAATTCACTTTTTATAACAGCATCTGATTAGAATGAAACTATATATTTTAGACCCATTTTCAAACAGAAGATTTCAAAATCTGTTTGTGAGAATCTGCTGTTCCATCAATTTACAAAGCAGGCAATTTCGAGAACAAAATTCCATTATTATCATCACACAAAATACAAAACAAAATGATCATGGAAAAGAGGAAATGATCGCAAAATTACATAATGAAATTGAGAATTTGAAAACGAAACTAAGGAAAGCAAGTAAACTACAAAGTGATTTATTATTGAATGGCGTTTTTGGTGCCGACCAAATTTGAAATTTAACAGTGAAAAGTGAATAGTTATTTATGTATCAAGGAAATTATTATAAGGGCCTTAATTAAGCTGGGCGTTATCGTTTTGGAGATATTTTCTATATCGATCCATGTTACTTAGCTCCTAGGGCGCTAAGTGGAGTTGCTGAGAACTTTACAAAACCAAGTATTTGGTAGGTCTCGTCAAAATAAACTACTTTTTTCCTATGAAATGTTTATCGAAAAATGATTTGTTCTCTGTATTTCAGCACCCTGTATCTCCGACTTTATTTCTTATAATTGTCTCAGGAATACTTCACTTGAAAGTACTTATGTTACTTTCTGTATATTGAGAATACCTACCTTTAATTTAATATAAGGAACTTCATGTTTTATACTAATCACTGGAGTCCAGTTTCACATACAATAAGGAATTATATCTATAAGTTTATCCATATGTCTATATTTTCTAATATTAAAATGTTGTTACATGCATTCTCTTCACTATAAATTGAAGTGGGTGTTTGTACCCTATACCCATTGTCCATCTACAGTTATGATTGATTTGACAGAAAATATAACCTCTAAAATCGTATCTGACAATCAGGCGCTACTAGTGAAATTGAAAAGACAAAGAGCATAAGACATATATTCGTCTTATTCTTTTATTCACTTAAACCATTGTATTATAGAAAATAGAAAAGGACAAAAGTTCAGCTGTGTCCGAACTCTTATCAAACTAATACCATCCAGTGACTTTAGTTCTACCTATTCTCACAACGGGGCCACTTCATAATAAACAGCTCTTATAATAAATTGAAACTATGTGACATAATAATGTCGATATGTTATTTTCATTATTTACCCTGTTGGTGCAGCTCCAAGTTGTCCTTCCTCGAATATTTTCGTATCACTGGTTACTTGACTCACTTGTCTAGTACCAGAAGTGAGCTGTTTAACCAAAGCACTCAACAATTCTTCCGATTTGTATGTATCATAAACAACACATAAACCTTTAGAAGCGGCATCTTGAATAATATCTGAAATATAGGGAGATATACATGAATACATGAATTTCATAATTAACAAATATGAGTAGGGTCTTACCATTATTTTCACAAATCAGTTCCATGAAGGCATTTTGCAGCAATTTCAGCCTTTTAGTAATAGGCTCCCTCTGTCCGCAACCCTTAATGACAGCGAGCAACCAGATGCAAGAGGCTTGCTTCGAATTGGGATGGGTTTGTCCAACCAAAGATAGTAACTCCCCTAAGAGCCATTCTAGATCGTCGTCAGGTTGGGCCTCACTAGTTACAGGAACGTACTCATTAGGAAGGGTAGTCCAAGGGTTTCGAGCTTCCGGGGACCATATACCTTGGCAACACATCACAAGAGATTCGCCCACTGTGAAGTGGACTTCCACATCTTTTGTCTGAAAGCAAAATATCCTTTTTTCCCAGAAATAAGAGAATCATTGTTGAAATATCTAACAGAAAACAGCTACTTCATTGGCTAATAGCACAGAATGTTTTCAGATCTGAAGGAATAATAACAGTCTTCGCCTTGATATTTCATTTAAAAAACAAAAATTGATTCCACCCTGTCAAAAAAACTACAAATATCACGAGAACAATGAATGTGTAATACACGGTACATAGGTTAACTTTAACAGAAGAATGTCCTCCATACACATGTGTAAAATTCTTCAATGCCTTGCCTAACTGGATGAAGGGTATACAATGTGAAAATATCTTTGAATCTCAAATCAAAACAAAGCTAATTCAACTGGAACCTTATAACCGTGAGACTTTCGTATATGATTTTCTCTACCTTTTTGTTGACGTATTTTTTTTGCCTGATTTACCTGAACCACCTGTTTCTGTATTTCTTACAATATACAATAAATAATGATTATTATTATTATTATTATTATTGAATTATATCTGTCAAATATTGGATTTTGAATTTTTGTATAACATTTACAATTACTATTGTTCAAATATCTAACAGTTAACAATTACTAACTTTAGTGATTTAGTTATTCAATTAAAAAAATCATTCGATGATTATAGATCTTATATAAAAGATTAAAAATTACTCACAGAATATTCCACAATCAAATATTATAATATAAACAATTAACTGTGTAATTATGATATCAAAACATCGAAATATTTATCATTATCATTATTAGTCTCAGAATCGCGCACTGGTGGACAAATTGAAAATCGTTAATTTGGTTACCTTTCGCAGCGCCACAAAAAGGAATCCTTATTATGTTCGAAGAATATCATGCCTACCTACAAAGGATATGGAGAGAAGGTAGGTATTAATTTGTTTCTACCATTTGAAGGAGAAAATTCTTCCTTCCTTGGGCAAGCAATTCGAAAGCTTTGCAGTTCCATAGACAAACGATTTTTGATAAAGAGTTCTTCGAAATATCTCGAGGTTGATAACAAAAGAATGTGCTGACTGAGCTTGTCGAGTTTGTCTGACTGATAATCCTAGTGATGAAATCATAGCCAAGACTTGTAGAACTTTTTCCGTTGAATTATCTATAGAAAAGCGAGTGATCACCGATTTTCCTACGGTCTTCTAATGATTTTAAGGAATTAGTGAATGTGGCATCATCAACCATGCAAAAGGCACTCCTCTGAATAGAATCATGGAGCAACAGCATATCTTTGGGTGTTAAACTCCATATATGAAACCAGTATTCTGAAACTGTCTTGATCTATGTTTTGTGGATCATAAGAAGTTGTTGAAGTGTTTTATAAGTAGCATTTCGCACGGAATGAAGAAAAGCCGATATTTTTCCATGAGAGTATTAATGATGAAGATAACAAGAATACATATTGTGGACTTTGTGATCCAGATGGTTCTAGACATTGTTATATCAGACATTGTTATTTCAGGCATGCTGAGTTTGTATTTTCTAGAGACGATAGAGGCTTGAGTATTGATAACGTTGTACTCAACTAGGTTGTTGTTTCTCCAGGAAGATATTTCAGCAAATCTTCAATGGAGGCGTTAACCTGCATTCGTGAGTTTCTAGTTTCCTGGGATGAAATTGAAATTGTGGATTGAAATAAGGTATGTGCTATTGCAATAGGCTATGGAAAAGGTCAATCTCAAAATAATGCATACCAGGTAAAGGTTTCAGAAAACTACATTTAAAAAAAAATGTTTTAGGAAAAGGTCAACTGTTATAAATTAATGAATTGTACTCATTCTAAGTCAAACAAGATGAAATATGTTATCTATCAATTCAAACACAACTTACCTATGGGATCATAGGATGGGGAGGAGTAAAGGACATCCATTTGAATGTGATAATGATACAAAGACGAAAAAATAATGGATATTCGACAGCTGTACTGCCAAAAAATATTGAATGATTTATATTCTAAGAAAATAAACCCTGTCGAACATGATTACGACACTCGTCACAGACAACAAAGTGTCAAAATTCCCCAATGTGAAAATAATGTTGGTCAAAGAAGCTTCATTTTTTTAAGTGCAAAATAATTCAATCACATATAGACTGTTGGCCCATGACACAGGGTTTATCGATGTTCTAAGTCGGTATGCCATTTAAGGGACCCACTCACTTAGACCAAGTTAACAGGAAGGAGTGCCTCGGAGAGTCGCAACCCAGTCCTTGCCCCGGCCCTGACCTCACCTTCCGGTTGGAAAAAAGTTCAAAATTTTGTTCAAGAAGAAGCTCGGCAATGAAGTGCAATGATCTTATCTCACGACAATTGGGGCGCTTGCTGGTTTGCATACGCCTAGGTCACTCCCCAAGGGAGGCATACGAACCGGAAGTGGCAATTTTTCAATGTTATAGTCGATGATCGAAGAATGTATGCCCTTTGGGGAAACAATGAATTCTAATCCATTAATCAGTTTCCTGACATTTGCATACGATTCCGGAGAGGGGAGCTCGACTTATTCGAACATCAATTGACTAGACATCTTTCAAATAATCGATGATTTAAGTTCGTATGCAAATCTCTAGACCGATAAACTAGGATATTCTTTAAAACTGGATGCTATTTGCATACGAATTCAATGTGAGCATACGTTGTAATAATCGGGCAAACCCGCGCGTGCCTCGGTCCGGCGCGGCGCCCCGCACTGCAGGCCAGAGGTGCACCGAAAGCGAACTAGATAATCGGGAAGTCTCATAATCTCACCTCACATGAAACCGGGTCAAAGATTATCTTCCTGGTAGTGATGGGGATATTCGAAGACGCAAATTGCAGATATATTTGTATTTGTCCATCAGAAATTTACAGCTCAACAAAATTACATGTGTGAGAGGTTTATTAGTACCAAGAAATGTTTTTGTGTGATTTCAATTTGAAAAACAGGGCTTTGAAAAGATGATAAAAAAAATTGACAACAAGATACTCGCAAGATGATCAAGAGGGATCGTACAAGGAGAAGAGGGGTGGATTATTGCTCATGATCGAAACTCACAATGAATCGAATTGAAATTCTTCCTGGGGCTTATGGGACTGCTTATCATAATACTGGCGTCTCAAAAATATATAAAGAATGTACATTCAGTTTGTTGAATGTTTTGGGTATAGTATGGGGTCCTGAACTTTAATCTACATTCTTGTTTTTCACATAAAAAAAAAATTATTTGAAAATGAAATTATATTAAATGATAACAACATTATATTTCAAAGGAGAAATTATACGTCGTCCTCTCTATCATTATCTTCATCATCATTATTTTCCAGAGTTGTCATCAGAACCTGTTAGTTAGTATATTATTTGATTATTGAAAAATCTTGGCATGATCGAAAGATATACCTGATACTTTCTCAGTTGAAGTCTCAGAGATTATGATATCACCAACCTCTGCTGAAAGAGCTTCACCAAGGTACCAATGGAAATCGTACCCAAAAAAAGTATCAAGGGCCCAGCCCCCTTCATTATTTTTCATGTAACTGACAATGACATAACTTCATCAAACCCAGTATAGTTGAGTTTAGCGATAAGATTCACACGCTGCACTTATACACAGGGTTCTGGTAATCCGATTCATACCACTGGTAGGAAAGGCAGTAAGAAGTGAATAAATCTGTAATATACATTATACAAAAGTAAATGGTTCTTGAGATATTTAAATATCGGATCTCCGACAAAAGGGAAAAACCTCGGGAAAAACATTATTGAATGCCCACTAAATCATTACGTGCTACACTCTACCCGGCTGCTGCAGCAAATCATTGTTCAGATATGAAAATTGTTTCAGCAAAAAAAAAAGGAAATACTTCAAACACGGGATTCATATTTCTGGCACAATTTGACAATTTGGCGCATGATTGCTATAAGAGTGCTGCGTGTAAATGATATCGCTAGATGCTGTAGAGCTGTATTCGTCATAATAATCTCAACTCGATAGTGAGGTAAAGAATAGTGTTTCAGTAAAAAGAAATCTTCAACTACCCAATAGTTTATTTGTTATGAACAACCTGTGAATTTCTTGATAACAATGAAAAATCTCTTAGGAAAATCATTTTAATTGATTTTTGAAATTTTAAAATCGGTTCAGAAACAACTAAGTTACAATGGGAGATATTAATGGTGAAACACCCTGTACGGAATGTGCAAATTGTATGCAAACCATCATCTCATTTATACTGTGTGGTCCACTAACCATGGTCAAAATTTGAACATTTCTTCGATTATCGATTATTTGAAGAATATCCAGTCAAATGATGTTCGAATAAGTCGAACTCCCCTCTCCGGAATCGTATGCAAATGTCGGGAAACTGATTATTGGGTCCGAATTTATTGTTTTGCCAAAGGGCATACATTCTTCGATCATCGAGTATAACACTGAAAAATTTCCACTTCCGGTTCGTATGCCGCCCTTGGGAGTGACCTAGGCGTATGCAAACCGGCAAGCGCCCCAATTCTCGTGAGATAAGATCATTGCACTTCATTGCCGAGCTTCTTCTTAAACAAAATTTTGAAATTTTTTCCAACCGAAAGGTGAGGTCAGGGCCGGGGCAAGGACTGGGTTGCGACTCTCCGAGGCACTCCTTATTGTTAACTCGGACTGAGTGAGTGGGTCCCTTAAATGGCATACCGACTTAGAACATCGATAAACCCTGTGTCACGGGCCAACAGTCTAATACCCATTCAACTCAGAACTATAAAAAATCATGGATGTTTCAGACGTGAAATCAATCAATGGCTACAAAATATTGATAGGTCAATAATCAGCAAAATTGTCAATAATCATTATATCTAATCTTTTTGTTTTGAAAATAGTATGAAATATAAATATTCCTACCCGTGAGATCTATACAAAACTTGAGAATATTTCTTTTCAATTACATCAAAGGTTTGATATTTCTAATACTAGGTATAATTCAATTTGTTATACTTAGTCCAATATTATCTTTTTTTCAATCAGTATTATGTTGACTTACTCATTTTTTGTTGTGGTAATTTAGATTGTATCAGAAATAACAAGATTGAATACGGCATTATATGCATTTCTATATCACATACAAACTGGTCTACAGCTTCTGTGATTGTTATATTTATTCTGTTAATGTTCACTTCCAATTTTCAATTATTATCTTTTTCGTATTAGTGTTGTATTCATATAGTTGCTCTTACCTCAATCTTATAAAAAATGTTCACCATTAGGTTTATATATCAACACTTATTATACACCACAGATATTTCAAATAAACATTATTCTATTCTATTCTGTTTTAATTACCTCTTTAGCTGTATTGAGGAATCCCTGGAGCACTTGTCTAGTATGAGGGAACCTCTCTCCAACGCACAAGAGACCCAAAGACTTTGCTGCTCTCTCTCTAACTTTTGCGGAAAATTTGACATTATTCATAACATCCAGCAATTGAGTGACAATATCGATTTTGGTGATATCAGTAGCAACTCTTTTTGGGTCGGGACTGCCGTTTCCTTGTGGTTTGCCATCATCAAGAGGCAGGCCATGAATTCTCCCTAGTAAACCAATACTGGTGCAGGCAGCACCCATCAAAAGGGGGTTCTGATGTTTGAAAAACGGACCTTTAAATCATAGTAAGTGGTACAGGATGATAGATTATAGATTTAACGATTTAAACACTAAAACTAAAGAATATATTGACTTGACCCCTATTCTAATGCATATGTTTTGTTCAGAAATTGAGAGTATTTGAACCATAGGATCAAGAGTTCTATTCAGAAAGACTATGAATTCTGTTGGATAGCCCAATTGTCAAAATGCAATACTCCAACTAAACTATTCACTTTTGGTCCGCACAAAAAATAACAAATCAGTTTGAAACTAATCAATTGTAAAATTATATCTAGGTTTGGAATATTAACACAAGTACACTAAAACTATATTAACCAGATGAATACTAAATATATTCACACTACACCGTTTTACCATGAACCAAACCAATTTTTAAACGTCTCGACACGTGTTTCGCGAAGTATGTTATAACTTCAGGAGTATATTGAGACTAAATATCCTATTCTAGTATGCAGCATACTAGAATGTGGATATATTTTCAAATAAGAAGGCTACTAGACGAAGATATCAAAAATGCCACTGTTATTTGTTACAGCCGTAAAAATATAATTTTTTTACGGCTGTAACAAATAAGGAGAACAAGAAAATTGGGGTCACTTTTAGTCGACATTGACACAGTGAAACTGCACTCAGTGCACAACATAAAGCCGAGTGGAAAACAACAAGAAGTTATAAACTAATTTGAGGACAACTAGTCCAAAAGGAACTTCCATATCCTATGAAGAATTTCAAGACAAACAATATAGGCTGAAACAATATACAGGGTTATATTGAGAACAACAAAATTGGGGTCCCTTCTAGTTGAGCATGAATTCGTGATTTCAAAAGTGCCATTTCCGTTTTGGTAACACCTGTGCACTTCAAAATTTGATTGCAATTATTGAAAAATTACAGGCTGTATCATGTCAAGAAATAGAACTTTTCAAAAAAGTATTGCATTTTTTCAGAAAATCGATACTAAAAGATGTTTTCATTCAATGTAGAGAACTTGTGTACACAACATTTTTTGTTTCACAAACCTTCAAAGTAATCTATATATTAACAACTTATTGTGATTGAGAATTGGGAAAATACACTTTCAATATCCGACCATTTCGATGGTATGTTTTTAATCCGGAGAGCTTATGGAAATGGTTGAAAAATCCTCATTACTTCAACAATTCACTTACTCAACACTTCAACTGACACTTTCACTAGACTCCAATTATCAACTTTCTGCCCTGCAGCCTTCCTGACGGATATTTTATTCTCTAAACAATGACCAACGGCAAGAAGAGCCCCATGCTGAGACTCCAAATTTTTACTGTTTGCTTGCGTCAACAAATCTTTAATCGCAACTTCGAATTCGTTGTCAGTGACCGAGTGTGTTAGGATAGCAGCATAGAGAATTGCACTGTATTCCCGAACATCCTCTTTAGTGGAACTTAGCTGGTCTTTTATCCAAGATATATCCTTGGAAATGTTTTGGTAGAGAATAGGAAGACATCCTATCAGCTCCACCATGCAACATAAAGGCTCTGGGGCTGAAATTGACAAAATTCATTGATCAAAATACTTCATACAAAAAGAATATGAATATCGGAAGTGTGATAATTTGAATGAATCCATTACTTTTTGAGTGAATAATACAATAATAATGATGGCCGATATCTGTAACAGCCTTTGAAAGCAGCCTGTTGTTAATGTAAAACTTATAAATTATTGATAGTGAATAATCTCAGCCACTCCCAGCCTATTTTGCCATAAGGCACGTAGGTACCGGGCCTTGGGCCAGATGAAAACGGGGCCCGAAATAGGCTTCAATAACATTATTATAAACTATTCAAATTCAAATTTAATTACCTACCAAAATGAGCCGTAACTAAAAAATTAAATTGAATAAAATTAGAGTTAGATTAGTATGAGAATTATATTGATATACAGTGTGACCAAGATAAGGTTGCAAAGCATGAGGATCGCAGACACGGTTATTGAATATACGGATTCGGCTGAATCAGAAAACAGTTGCCCACCCAGAGGATCAATCCAACTACTCGAAAATCGTCAACAATAATCATGGATTTTCAGTTATCTGAAAGAAAAGTTAATATTCAGAAAATCTCTTCAATTTTTCCTACAGTATATTATTGAGATGATATTGATTTCTCTTTGCACTATTTCGTGTTTGTAGAACCATCGTCATTTTTTTATCAAATAAGTACGTTTCTCATCATGGTCACTTTGGAGACCTGCAGAACATCTCTTTCCAAACACTCGTTCATCCAACGAACAGCGAGGCTCTACACATTGCCAAAGGAGGTGTTCCCCGAGGCATATAACCTCCAGAAATTTAAGACGAACACCAATTCCTACCTTATTTCCCTTGGTTCTCACGATGTTCTCTGAACATTACAGGATATCCCTTTTCGTGAGAACCAGAACAAGAAAAAAAAATCATCGATGGTTTTCGAAATCCAAAATAAAAAATATCATCGGTTTCTTGCTCGTTTTTGTTGAACTACCTAATTTATATAAGATTATTAGAGAAACCATTTATTATAACTAAGTACAATCATAATGTACTTTGTTGGTGTGGGTGTGTTTGTGTGTGTGTACACACCAACTGCCTATTGACCTTACGAGAGATGTGTAATGTGTAGGCTTGTTACTGACTCCATACGCCACCTTAAGTGAACAGTGAATCTCACAGATTCATCTCAGGTCCAGACTAAGAAAATTAAATGTTAAACTCGTTTTCGAAATTAAAGTTCTCTGCTCTGTCTGGATTCGATCCAGCCATCTTTCAATGTCCTATTCCGCCGTCCCATTTATCAAATAATGATTTTAAAATTGAACTTCCATCAACCCAAAGATAAGCAGGAAAATTCTTATTGGAAATTCATATAAGTAATTTGGGGCCCGAAATTATGCTGGGGCCTTGGGGTCCAACTAGATCAAAAATAGGCCTTGCTCCCATCGTACAGTATCAATACGATATCGCTAGTGTGAACTCGCTTAGCTCGCTTAGACCAAATCTACAGCGAGGCCAAACAGTGTATATCTCATAACACAACTAATTTTTTCTGAAATTTACTGCAGTGTTTGAAATGCAAGTACTCAATACTACCTGAGTAGTGGCATCTAGAGAGATTACGCAATAAAGACAGGGCGCAACAAATAATCAATGCGGAAGATACACAGAACATTTCCGGCAGAGAGCGAAGCTCTCTTCGCCGATCTTAAATAGAACATCACTGAAATGGCTAATCACTCTCGGCCTCAACAGTAAATGCCTCCACACTCCACAGTACTTTTATCAGGGACCAAGGAAAATATCTCTCCTGCATAAGAAAGGAAACTACTTTTTTAAACCATCCAACCTTACTCGGCTTAAATGATTATATATTTATGTATATTTTTCGGAAAATCGCTTGAGAAAGCAGAACAAGAAATACCGACCGTCGCATTTCAATTAATCACATCGAAAAAAAACACCAAAGAAGTTGGTTGATTCGAACCCGGGACCTTATATCGAGCAGGTATGCTACCAACTGGCCATTTTGTTTCATGCGGATTTATGTACAAAACATCTTTACATATATAATCCTCACCACACGGGTTATTTGTTGCATAGCATCCTTACGGCATCCACGCTTCGGGTTGTATTGAGTTCGTGCGTTTAAATAATCTACAAACTACATGATATAAAATGTATAATACATGTTGGATTCTGTCCTAACTAACTCAGTATATATTGGGTATCTGATAGTTTGAAGATACTTATTAAAGCACCAAACTCGTTAACTTACTGTTTGAAAGGAACTCAAATTGTGTACAAGCGTTCCTCGAAACCCTGGGAGCTGAAAATCTAATCATCTATCATGCAAAGATTTTTTTTCAGTTTTGAAAGATCGTTATCCAACAATGGATCAATTCTCCTGGGATATCGCCTGAAATTCTTTAAATCCGCAGATATTCAGGAAAAAAAAACAAAAAATTGAAATACGGGAGCTCCTAAACTTTTTCGACTTTGTAACACTATTTTGGAACACTTGTTATGTTTTAACTGGAAAACTTTAAACAGATTAGAACAATTATTCTTACACAGAAAGGACGCATATAAAAAACATCAAAAATTTCAGTGGTCCACTTGCTTTTTGAGCACTGTATCAATCAATTCAGTGCACTATTATAGGAATTAAAAAACAAAATTTCGTTACCTGGATTTGCAACCATAAGGTCCCGTACTAAGTTAGTATACAATACCAATGGATTTTTATCTTTCTTCATGGTAGTATCAGCTATCTTTGAAAGGAGCAGATGGCTTATTTTTGGTGAATACTCGCAAGGATGTTTGAGAATATCTCTGGTAAGAGGTATATCCAAATCTCTAATAAGACAAAGCCTTAAATAAATGAGAATCTGAAAAAAAATAACTATATGTTGAGTGAGAGAAGAAAATGATCAGTCTCACCTCAGCGTACACGTTCACAGCAAATGGTAATACTCGATTTCCTAAGCTAAAACACTTTGAGGTATTCTTCATATTGATTTCTGCTTCACTGGTAATATAGCTAGTGATTTCTTCGAATGATGGCATGATTATTTTGTCTTTCATCTTCTCCTTGGACATGTCTACGTCATTTTTTCGTGTAGTACCATATAGGGATTTGAACGCTTCTGCAGACACTTCATCTTTGCTGTAAATTAAACAATTCAAAACTTGAATCGAAATAATGGAACAAGCATCTCACTTGTCTCCAGTGGCTGTCAAAAGTAAAAACTTTGAAGGAACATGATTTGGTGGAAAAATAGTCGCCAAAGTCCTAACAGCAGCAAACCTAGCCATAGGCTCTTCAGAATATATCTTACACTTGATAAGCACAAAGAGTATATTCAACCTTCCATCTTGGTCACATTCCGTTGGGTAAATATCGTATTTGTAAGCCAAGATCAGGTTCAAAAGCCCTTCCCGAATTTGTAAGCGTAAATCTGGATTAGCGGATTCCATGTTCGTAAAGAACATTTCAAGCAAACCGACATCATGGTACACTATTTTGGGAAAGCGCTGACCCAACATTCCAATGATGGTGTAGGCTTGTCCATGATGGACTTCTTCACCTTCTCTAATCAGTTTTTGCAAACCAGATAGTAGAACGGGGGCCACTTTACTCAGAGGATCTTCATTGGCACTGGAAAAAATCAATTAAAGTTGGTCTCATCTCATGTAATTGGATTTGATATCATTCAACATTATCAGATGACTAGAATGTAACACATCAAAATTGATAGAATCCAGGGATTAAATCAGATATCAGGAATCAAGTTTGTGAATACTTACTATCGAATAATATTAGCAGTGAAATTGAGGGCCAACGTTTTCAATCTGCTATTTGTGTTAACCCCGTACAGTGAATCAAAAACAATTTGAATACACTGAGGAAACGCAAATCCACCCCCAGTCACCTTACAGAGATGTGTCAACAATTTTAACCGAATTCTTGTATTTGCAGGAGACTTCTTCTGGTCTGGTTTGACTGATTTTCCTTGGCTGCCTAAGAATAAGGTGTAAAGTGGAACTGAAACATGGGAAGCAGACCAATCTATAGATCTGAAAATAAATTTAAATATAATGTTAACGTTTTACCTTTGCTTGCATGCCAAGGTGGATAGATGGGGAAACAGCTTATAATAAAGTAGAAAACATTGTAGATCATTACTTTGATCATATCAAATGTTAATGCCGTAAAAGGGCTTTGAAAAAAATAAGCTACCTGTCAGCTATCTGTCACTGTCAGACCTCATAAATCAGAATGCATTTTATCAATCGATGATCAGGCCTGCATTTTAGCCGATGATTCCTTACTACGATTCTTTAGGAGGTCTATGTTTTTCTATATATATATAAATATGCTTTATTATATTTTTATTTACGCCTAACATTTTTAAATGTTCGACTGTTTGCATTGTTGGAGACTACAATTTACCTAACATTCAATGGAATATTGACCATCTTGGAATCAGTGCTCATGGACACAGTTGCTCAGCTGAGTATATCATTGAATCTATTTCCTATCTGAACTTTTATGAACTGAATTCAATAAGTAACAATAATACTGTGATACTAGACCTAGTTCTCTCATACAATCCTAATGTTACGGTCAATATTGCTAGTGATGTTCTTTTGAAACTTGATCGTCATCATCCTGCTTTAAGTATAGACATCAAATATCAAATACCACACACCAATTGAAACGCTGGACTTTGAAGAGTTCTCATATGATTTCAAGAAGCAACTTCCGAGCAATGAACCAGTTCCTTCTTGACATCAATTGGGATGAAATCCCTGCCACTAATGTTAATAATGCTGTCAAATTTTATTTCGAGGAATTGACAGATTCACACCTATGATCAAACTGAAAGGCAAATTTAGATTTCTTATATATAAACAATACAGGGTGATTCAAAAGTAAGGGGCATCCTTTCAGAGGCGTATTCCTTGCTTGAAAATAAGGCAAAAAGTTCCTATTGATAAGGATCCGAAAATGCTTCCTAAGGGAGCTACGGCCCTTTGAATAGGACACCTCAAAGACGGTTTTTTCTCTATAACTTTAAAATCCTTCACAACAAATTTTTAAAAATTGGTGTACGGCATAAACATTCGATGGTAAATAGGACTCCGTATTCGAAATAATTTCCAAACGAAATCACAGTAACCTGAATATCCGGAGAAGAAGGGATATTTTTACACTTACCCTCTCCCGCATGTGACGCCCCTGAATGAAATTCTGAAATTTCGAATACGGAGTCCTATTTACCATCGAATGTTTATGCCGTACACCAATTTTTAAAAATTTGTTGTGAAGGATTTTAAAGTTATAGAGAAAAAACCGTCTTTGAGGTGTCCTATTCAAAGGGCCGTAGCTCCCTTTGGAAGCATTTTCGGATCCTTATCAATAGGAACTTTTTGCCTTATTTTCAAGCAAGGAATACGCCTCTGAAAGGATGCCGCTTACTTTTGAATCACCCTGTATAAACACTCCAAATCAATGGAGGATTACAACAGTTTTTCTCATTTAAGATCATTATGCAAAGAACAATCCTCATCATGCTACAATAACTATATTTCTAAAGTTGAAAACGGAATTATCTCCGATCCCAAATTATTCTGGAATTATATTCGCTCCAAAAATCAGGAGGATGGTATTCCCAATATGATATTCATTAATGATGAGTTTGCAACTGATGGCAATTCAATTGCAAATCTTTTTGATAGCATTTCTCTTCAGTATACTCTAGTGACAATACCTCTATAGATCCTAGATCAGATAATGAATTTGATTCCATCAGCATTACACACTGTAGGGGTAGGCCTCTTTGATGGATCACCCTGTACATTATATACGAGAATATTGTATAAGGATGATATCATCAAATTGCATTGAAAATCACATTTGCTACCCCAAAGACAGTATGATAACATTTGACATTCAATTCTGACTGATCAAAATTGTGCTAGGTAATCAAGTAAAAAAAACGGTTTTCATTGAAATATTGAATAGAAACTTCAGATAATACATGATTTCATCAGCATTTTGCTCATTTCAAAAATGTTTGAAACTCCAAATATCTGAGTACTTACCCAACAACTTTCTTTAATTCTGTATCTGCAAGATTGGCGACGGCAAATCTAGTATCCGATGCAGCGACTACTAGATGAATCAAAATGTCTTCATTACTGAATACTCCATGAGCTAAAAATTTTACTATCCCCAGTTTTATCTACAAAAGGTTGAAAATGGAACTTTATTACAAAAAAGATCCCAACAATCAGTCAACCTGAAAGTTTCGATCTCTATTGATCCTTGAGCGTTGAGTTGAAGATAGGACCTATGTTGAAATTATTGAACACTATGACAATGTCAGACAATCAACTCAACATGACCTGAATGAAACTCTTACAGAGGCCATACTTCCATGAAGGATTAATATGCATAATGAAAGTTATTATTTTGATATAAGTTTTTTCAACATTATAAATCGCCATTCTGATTTCTGTCTGAAATTCTACTATGGAATAGATAATTGAGAATGTTTCGAATGAGGTATCACTCAACACAACATGTCATTCTTTCAAAATGACGCCTATTCGAAAGATGAATTTTATGTGGGAGTTAAAAAGAGTTTCTGAACCAAAACTTCGATGAAAATTCCCGAGTCGTTGAAAAGGTAATTCAAATTTCAATAAAACAAAGAAAATTGCTGTGAAATCTATGAACATATGGTAGGAGTTTATCAAATTTTCAGAGCGTGTAATTTTCTAGGGGGCCGTTTTAACGATTGTTGGGTGCATTATAAAAATTTTAATGTCAGTCTTCATTTACCTCCTCAAGATCTTCCGGCTTCAAGAGGTTATTAGTGGTGACTCTTTTATAGGAAGTTTCACTCATACAAGAGGGAACAGGCAGTGAAACAGCGTTAGACTGTTCTTCGTTTTCTGGATTTTGGGGAGACAATGCACTGAAAAACAAACAATCAATCACGGCGAAATACTGAAAATGTCAACTAACTTACCTATAAGGTAAAAGTATCATATCCAACATGATATCTAACAAGTTCTTAACAATTTTAGGTTTTTCCTTCAAGCCGAATAGATTAGCTAATTTTTCGGGTTCTGTAGGAACTTTAACTTTGCCCAGAAGTGGGACAATCAATAGAAGCAATCCATCACAGTGAGATTGAGGCTTATTTTCTAGAGCGTTAAGAACTGTTGGCACAAGCTCTGCTTGCTTTTCTATTGGCAGACGAGGAAAGCCAGATTTCAAATAGATTATTGTGAAATTCTGAAATATATGAATATGATATTCGATTTATTTGAAGTGTTTACAAGAGATCTACCGACACGAAAAATGTATAACAAATACAAGACACTAAAATATATATTAGAAATATTTTTTTGTAATTATATGTTATTTTTATTGTATTCATTGGAATTCGAATTTGTGTTCACAAGCATTTTTATTGTTTATGGGCATACCTAATAGTTGAAAAACCTCCGCTTTTCTCTTTTAATAATAATAATATGGGTTCATTAGATTATCGCATGCATATATTTTTTTTATCTAAAACATGATATGAAGTATAGATATACATTAGTTGTTTTATTTCGCTTCCTTAAATTATGTTGGTATAGCAAATCTATTCGTCAGGTTTCATTTCTAGAAAAATCTAATCTTTGGCTAAAGTAGTTTTTGAAGATAACAATGGTGCTATTGGGCCTATAGGCTTTATCATGAGCATAAATAGAAGTTATTTAAATACACTGGAACTTTATCCTTCATAAACTTCCTTGTAGGATGAGAGTCGATTTTTTGTTCAGAAGAGGGCCTCAAAGAGGGTCAAAACTGTAATTTTCAACTTTTGGAAAAAATAGCCACTTTTTGAAGTCTTGTATCTTAAGAGGTTTTTGACCCACAAGAATGAAATTAGAATCAAATTGACGAGAATTTATCCAGCTTGAAAATAGGTCTGATTGACTTTTTCTTTAGGAACCCGTCTTTTAGGACTTTTGTGCTAAAAACCGAAATTAGTAGAAAAATTTCGAGGTTTTTCGAGTACCACACTTTTAGCCTAGGTTTTATACTATTGAGACATAGCCTGATAACATGCAGAAAAAATATGAATGCCCGAATTAATGTGAACTATGGTGTCTCAAGTCAGCGACCTTAGAGCATCTCGGGAACTAATACAGCTCGGCTTATTGAAATGTCTTCTGTACCTTGTTATGTAATAACTGTAACTTACTGTCACGAAGGAAGTGGCCGAAGGATCCTGATACTGTGTGAGAAGGGCTTCAACTGGTAATCCTACCAACGGTCTGGTTTTAATTCTACGATTAACGTGAATCAATAGCTCCATCACCTATGCCACAGGAAAAAAATATAAAATGAATCTTCTGATGAGTTTTAGATATTCCAAGAAGATTTTTGAGCTCAATGGAATATTAACAAAATTTATTTCTTCTGTCGACTAACCTAACCATACTTCTCAACTGGATAATTATTCGAAACCTGATCTTGAAAACTAAGTTAACCACATCCATCTATTCATTTATGTTTTTCACAATTGAATACCTGCCCATTAACTAGATTGTAGAGGTATCCATTTAATTGATATAGTATATTGTTTAAGGAACACAGAATGGTTTTCCCACAAGAATGAAGTTTGCCTACGACTCGTGCTGCAAATCATACGATATAACAGATAATAGCGATATTTTTGATTTCTTCGACTTGTAGCCATCTGATTCTCTCTTAACACGTTTTTGACCAAGTATTTGGATTTGTTATGTGCTAATATGCCCAAATTATTCAATATTTTATTTTTAGTTCGTTTTTTGAGATGTATACCTCATACCCTGAATAAGATATCGGTAATATTTTTCTCTATTATCTGCATTTAAAAAAAACTATGTCCAATAATGGAACAATAGAAACGGTAGGGTATTAAAACATCATTGAGAAAAATGTATTCAACAACTTGATAATTTATGGGGCATTGTTCGTGCAGATTAACGTGACACTTTTGACACATTTTAGTATTTTTTTTACACAACAGACTTCTGTTTGCTGGCAGGTACCATCCAGTGGTCAGAACCATCATACCTAGTATCATGATGAACACTTTGAGCATGGACTTTTGAAGTTCATGGTCTCCTATCAGTTGCTAGGGGTCGCTCATACTTCGCAAATTTATCACCTTGGGCTACCTCTACAATATCAATCAATTCCTTGGTAGTCAAATACCTGTTAGGTATTTTATTCAATATCATCGACAACATCCCGTATTTTGGTATTTTGAGAGCGGATGTCACTTTTGAAATATAAGAAATTAATTCGGTTGTCAATCATCGAAAGGTTGAATCTGTGCGTGAGAGAGATATTTTATGTATTTTGGTTATATTAATAAATACTGCCGTCGTTAAAAGGGGTATTTACTATCACTTCAGAAGTGGTGTTCGATTTCGCGGCCAAAAATTTCCATTGAGACGTTGTATCTGTTCGAAAGGAAGGTGCATTTTAGAAATCAGACAGAAGAATCAAGACGAAGAGAGGCTGAGTCGTTGATTAGGTTGGGTTTGGTTTGGTACATGTTTCGAGGTGTAGGTAAGCGTCTATAGATAAGTTGAAGTAGTCTTGGCTGATAAAATGATACATCCTGATTCTGATTCCAATATTCTGGCAAATGGAGTGGTTGATGATGCGGAGAGCACAACTCCAGCAGCAAGTAGTAATATTAGTCATGGGGTAGATTTCCAAAATATGATGTTCAAAATGACAGAATTGATGACAGCTCAGTTGAATATTTTGAATAACAGTAATGTGTCGCAAGTACCATCGGTGTTATGGCATTTTGATGGGGACAGGGAGCGATTTAGAGCAAAAGAATGGTTAGATACGATCAATTTGAGTAGTACTTTGCAAAATTTAGATGACATTTCCAAAATTAATATTGCTCGCGCATACTTGAGGGGTCCGGCAGTAGCGTGGTTTGATAGAGTTGGTAGGGGAATTGCCAGATGGGAAAATTTTGAATCTCAATTCAGATCAACATTCATTCAAACAATTTCTACCGCGGATCGCTGGGATAGAATGCGTTGTAGGATACAAAAGCCTGCGGAAAGTATATCTAGTTATTTTCATGATAAGGTGAGACTTTTATCAGAATTGAATCTACCATTCGCAGAGCAAAAATGTGAAATTTTGAAGGGATTGCATAAGGCAGATATAGCGGGAAATTTGATAATCAAAAATCATTTGACGGTTGATGATTTGTGGCAAGATTTATTACTTCTTGAGCAAGTGTATGAACGTATGAGAAAATCTAGATATGTTAACGACGATAGGAGTAGACCAATAACGAATGAGGGCAAAGGGCATGAGGTAGTTTGTTATAACTGTGGTTGTAAGGGTCATTTGAGAACAAAATGCGACAAACCTAAACAACAACTCTGCTATGGATGTTTTCAACCTGGTCATTTCAAAAAGAATTGCACTAAATTTCAAGCAGATGCAACTGTCACAGAAACGTCAAACATGGGTGGGAACGCGTCCGTTAACACAGTCTCGGGAAGGGAATGTACCACAGATTCTCTCTCACGATTCATACGCGAAGTCAAAGTAAACGGTATACCACATCAAGCGCTGATTGATACTGGTAGTGCAGTATGCACTATCACCGAAGATGCAGTTACCAAAGGGAATCATTCTGTGGAAAATGATTCGATAGTTTTGTCTGGTTTTGGAGGAACATCTGTTCAAAGTTCAGAAGCCGTACGAGAATTTTTGGAAATCGATAACATCAAAGTCTCTAACGTGACAATGCATGTTGTCCCAAATTCTGCTCAGAGTATAGATGTTATACTAGGGCGCACTTTTACTGAACAAGATTGTTTGGGATATGTCCGAGTTGGCAAAACCTTGAAGTTCTTGTGGAAGGATGAATTGCCATTTCCTGAGATGATTCAAGATGAAGCCGGTGAATCAATTTCATTGGTTGCGAATGAAGTTGTGGATATTCCAGCAAACTCTGTGATGCTTGTGACTGCGACGATGGGAGAAGAACAAGTCTGCGTTCCGCTGGAGAATCGAGGAGGTTCTAGCTGTCGAGTCAAGAAGATGCAGGAGTTGGGAAGAATTTCTTCACACATCAGTGGAGTAGACACTGGAATGGAATTGATCACTGAAGATATGATTAATATTGAATCAGGTATCGAACCAGAGACTAGGGCCAGGTTAGTTAACCTTTTCAATCAATATCGAGATTGCTTTTCATTCAATCTGTCAGAATTGGGTTGCACAGATCTGATTCGTATGGACATAGTAGACAATGATAAACCGGTAGTATGCAAGCCATATCGTGCAAGTCTTTCAGAACGTACTAAAATAGCGGACATTGTAAAGGAATGGCGCGAGTGCGGTATCGTAACAGACACTGATAGTTCATATGCGAGTCCCGTGATTCTTGTATCGAAGAAAAACGGAGAAGCTCGACTTGTAGTAGACTACAGAAGATTGAATTCTCAAACCGAGCGCAGAACGTATCCAATACCTACTGTGGATGAACAGTTCGAAAATTGGAGCGGTTGTAAATTATTCACGACGTTAGATTTAGCTCACGGTTATCTTCAGGTACCTTTAACAGAGGAAGCCAAGTTGAAAACTGCATTCGTTACACCGGACGAGAAAGGACAATTTGAACGCATGATTTTTGGGCTAACAAACGCTCCGTTCGAATTTTGTCGCTTAATGAATGTTGTTTTAGGGCCATTGAAAAATAAAGTTGCATCATGTTATTTAGATGATGTTCTAATTCCAGCAAAGAATTGGAGCGATATGTTCATTCGCTTAGAACAGGTGTTGCAAGCTTTCAGGAGAGCCAATTTAACGCTGAAGTTGAAGAAATGTTTCTTTGGAATGTCATCAGTTGAATATCTTGGGTTTGTTCTATCTGCTGAAGGCATACAACCAGGTTCAGCGAAAGTTGCAGCGATTAGACAGTTTCCAGTGCCCAGAAATATACACGAGGTTCGAAGATTTCTTGGCCTGACAAGCTATTTTCGTAGATTTATAGCGGGGTATGCAGTTGAGGCAAAACCAATAAGTGATTTAACCCGAAAAGATAATGCATTTAGGTGGGGCGAGATAGAACAAAATGCTTTCGATAAATTAAGGCATAAGCTCTGCGAAAAACCTATTTTACAGCTATATGATCCAAATGCCGATGTGACAGAACTTCACACAGATGCAAGTGCAGCCGGATTAGCAGGTATTTTGCTACAAGGTGATAGTATAGATAAACTACATGCAGTTTATTACGTATCCAAAAAAACAAGTGACGTCGAGTCTAAATATCATTCATCGAAGCTTGAATTGATGGCTATAGCGTGGTGTGTTAACAAGCTACGTAATTATCTGATTGGATTGAAATTCACCTTGTACACCGATTGCCAAGCTATAGTTTACATGAATTTACAGAAAAATCAGAGTAGCCAGGTTGCTAGGTGGTTTTATACATTGCAGGAATTTGATTTCGACATTAAATTCAGGAAGGGGCTGCGAATGGGTCATGTCGATGCTTTGTCGAGAGCTCCAGTATTAGTTGCATCCGATACTCAAAATGATCTGGATGAAATTCATGATATTTTTACGATTACTGTTGAAGACGAAGTCAATACGTTTCAAAATGCAGATGAAAATATAAGAAGATTGAAAAGAATTTTGGCTATAGAAGAAGTAAACAGAAGTATTGAACAGAGGAACGAAGTAAAAGGATATTCTTTAATTGAAGGTAGATTAGTTAAAGAAATAAAAATGGATGGAGGCAATAAGTATATTTTCGAGATTCCGAAAAGCATGAGGAAAAGCATAGTGGTGCAATATCACGATATGGATGGACACTTTGGACTAGATCGTGTATTGAAACGTATTCAGAAAATATACTGGTTTCCAAAAATGAGGAAATATATCAAGAATCACATAAGAGCATGTTTTCCATGTATAGAGAATAAGATAGCAGCAGGAAGGCAGCCAGGGGAACTGCATCCAATATCTCCTCCAAAGAGACCATTTGAAAGGATTCATGCCGATCATCTAGGTCCTTTCGTGAAATCGAAAAGAGGTAATTGTTATGTTTTGTTGATTGTATGCGCATTAACAAAATATGTCAAGTTGTATGCTGTGAAAGATACATCAACAAGAATCAACATCAAAAAGTTTGAGAACTTCTTCGGATTGTTTGGAATTCCGAAATTGTTGGTTACAGATCGAGGAACCTGTTTCACTTCGAAAGATTTTGGTGAATTTTGTAGAGGTCTGAATATTCACCATACGCTCAATTCTAGTCGTTGGCCTCAAGCAAAC